AAAAAGATTGGGGACAGTGCAATGAAGAAGGTCAATCAAATTTGATTCAGAACATGGACAAATTTGTCACTGCTTTAAATGAAACGACAGCATCCATGCATTCCTCCAAACAATTGGTTAGTATCTAATAATACTTTAGATTATAGCTCTTTTAACACCTCTTTAAGATTAACATTTAAGGTCACCAATTTAAGCATTTGATTTATTTTATAAGTTAATATGGACTAAAGTAACTTCATTAAGTTATCATAGTGTCATTCTTGTACTTGATCTTACAATTTTTAAATGAAATAATGCAATCATATCTTGATATGCTATTTTAGCACTTCATATAAAGTAATGGTACTTGTGGAAATAAGAATAATTAGAAATCTTAATCTCATCATAAGCTTATAGAGAGAAAAATCCAAAATTAAGATTTTTTAAGATTCTTGTAAACTTATATCAACAATTCTCATATTAACATTTTTTCCAGATGTTGAAATTACCTGAGAATATTGTATTGAATGATTTTAAACTTCAAAGAGCTGCAGCATTAGATAGTCAGATTATAGGTGATTATGAAGAGCTAGTGACAGATTGGATGAATACAATAGAGACTATAATAGTCGATACATCAGATGAAAGGTTTGTATCATAATTAGACATCATTATTGTAATTGGAAAATATGTTTCATTCATGTAGAATTTTCCAATGTATTGTCCATTTATCATTGATTTGGGTGAAAGAAGGGAAGGGTATGAAGGCAAACTGTAGATTTGGAAAGACTGTCATGTAAGAGTACACAATTTGTATTCATTTGTGCAAAGTATCAAATTCATGTTAAAGGAAAATTCCTTCTTATTTCTGTGGACTCCTTACTTACTTATTATTAAGATTTGTACCTTGAATGACCTAGAGTTGATATTTCAAACTTGATTGATAGTTATCCACATCTGAGTCAATTTAATATGAGTGAAACTTCAAAATTATTTTTTTTCCTTCAACAGATTTATGGATCCTAATGCTGGTCCCTTATCAGAATTAGAAAGATGGCGTAGAAGACAAAGACTATTAACAAGTTTAACCGAACAATTAAAATCCAAGGAATGTAAAGCCGTGATTGGTGTATTAATTACTGCTAAATCTCGACTATTACGTCGATGGAAAATTATAGATGTTGGGTAAATATACCATAGTACTCTATTATTAAAACAAGTTTTATCTCATAGAGCTCAGTTGTAGCTAATATAGAAAAAACAATGTTATGAAAATCAATAAAGTAAATTTGAGCTCTATCAGTTTGTTAATCAACTAAGTTCATTTGAACTTTCCCCTGTCACCTGAGATTCTTCGTAAAAAGGAAATCTGAAAAAAATGTTGGTCATTGCTAAATTTTTCCTTTGCTCACCAATAAGTAGAGCAAAATGATGTGCAACACAAATTTATTTCAAATAGACAAAATATTAACAAGTACATGCATTGACAATTTTCTTGTCATAAGAGATATTGTTTAATTCTCTGTATTTTTCAGTATAACAGATGCTATGAACGATACCAAAGATAAAGTGAAATACTTAGAATCTTTGAGACGTCATTTTGATCAGCTGTACAATGATGCCACACCTCATTCGATTATGAATACAGCTATACCAGGACTTACTAATAGTATTAAACAAATGGAATCTATATCCAGATATTATGGTCGTGTTGGATTTCTGGGTATAGTTT